AGAATAAACTAGTTTTATTTAAGAAAGGACTTGTATCGTTGAAGTTCTCGGAAAGAATTTTTATGGGAAATTATCAAACAAGTAGATACGCAACAATATACAGAACAAAGTTCTTATACTGGTGGACTATATGTTATGTATAGAGTTTTTAGTTATATTTTACCCACCATAGTGAACTTATAATTTATATACATTACATGAAAAATCCATACCACTGATGCTACTAATTTATTCTGTTAAATTATTCAGCAGACAAGTTCAACCTATCATATTTATCATATACATAATCCTTCATAGTGCAAGTAGTCTCAGTTCTTTTTTATGCTAAATAAAGTGGTGTTACAGACTGATTATCCTATTGATGTTTTAATACAATAAATCTCATAACACACACATACAAATATATATATATATATATATATATATGTATATATGACATACCACTAATAGAATAAAAAGACAACATAAATAAGATATATGTAGATAATAATAGTACAGCAACAGAATGAAAATAATGCATGATCATTTTCAAAAAAACAAATATGTTTTACCACTAGCTATAGCTGATAAGTAGAATTCTTTTATTAGACAGACATAACAATTTTGCACTTGAGCTAAATAATGACAACACTGTATGAAGGATACTAAATATGTCCTGTGCCATCAGAATATCTTGTGAAGAAGGGTTTTCCAGAATCATACAGCTTCTTGATTAATTTTTCTTGAGGTTTCTATGGACAATAATATTTTTTTCTTTATTTAGATTCTTAATACTTAAAACAAAATTACTTCATAAGAGATTTGTAATTTTGTGTTTCTGTTTACTTGATGAGTACTTAGGAGTACCAGAAAATGTGTGAACACAGTTTTTGCTGTAACAGGTGTTTTTTGTTTTAGTGAATAATAAGGTATAGAAAAACCTTATAATTCTTACATTATAGAGAACTTAAATAATTATACTAACTCCCAAAATATAACTTCTAATAATAAATATTTAAACCAACTTCAAAAGACAAGGGAGATAAAAAAAAATGCATATTTTAAGTTCTACATTAATTTTGATCTCAACTTCTGACTTGTTAAAAAATTACTTTGAAGAAAGAAGACTAACTAAATAAATAAAAGGATTTGATCTGTCTAAGCTCTTTACAATAGTTATCTTTTACCAACTATACAATAGGAGAACAATTCTGTAACTACTCAGCAACTTCTGGTTATGAAATCAGTGCACTTCAAGTGAAATTCATTAAAGAATATTGTACTTTGCTTTACTGAAACATCCTTGAACTAATTCTAGAGTTAAGGAAAGAAATGAAGCTACAAGAAACTTAGACTGGAACAGAAAATTCGAACAAAGGAACAATGACAGAATACAGTAAAAAATCTTTTGAATAAAAGAAAACAAGTGATTGCTATAAAGCATTGAGGGCTAAGATGTCAAAAAGAAACATAAGAACCACATGGAAAAGGAAACAGCACCAGTATGATCTACAGCAAGAAGACTGTAATGCATAAATTTAACCCTGACTAAAGGAATAAAAAGAAAGAAACTAACTAAAACATAATAGCTGCACAGAAGAAATAAGCCATGAAATCAGACAAATTATAGAATGCAATGCAAAAAAACTGACACTGGGGTAAAATAGAAGGCCATAAACCCCTCACCCCCAATAACTAAACTGAGGGTCAATAAACTGAGAAGTAGCATAAGTACTGGGAGATGACCCCATTAAATGGCTACTTGCAAGTGAATGCAAGGAATATGAAAGCTCTAAACAATTTACTGATTTTTAAAAGCATCAGCAATAACCCAAGTATTAGGAGAAGGTGGAAAATATAAAGATGACACTATATGATACTGGCATGCACCTTCAGGTGTAACAGAAATTGGTTTAGGATTTAAAATAGAATGTACCTGAGAAACAGTGAAATAAGACTACAAGAAGCTTCACAGGATTAGGGCTAGCTGACAAATTCTGTTGTGCATTTACTGAAGGAAAATAGCTAGGCCTAAGTAAAAAAAGCAATATTATTCACCATTATGGGAACAGAGTGAATGTTCTACAATTTGAGCATCTACACAAATGCAAAAAAACTGCCAGGGACACCACAGTAGACAGTTAAGAATTAACAGCTTTAATATGTTGATCAAATAACTGACAATACACACACACATGATATACACTATAGACTGTGTAAGTAAGGCCTTGACAGAAGTTGTAGAATTTCCAGTACTAGTAGAAGCATTTAAAACAGTTGAATTTAATTTCAGAGTTCAATGTGAACAAAAGCAGAGATTCTGTAGATTGTACAGGTGCATGCACAATAAATCACAACTAAGGTGGGAGAGTGGAAAACTCTGGGTAAGTTGACACAAGCTCTGCATTGTGTCAAATACATTCAGAACTTAAAATCACATGATTGTTGACAGCATAAGAGCAAACTCAACAATAAAAGGCTTCTAGAATTTCTGAGGCAAGTCTACATGATTTTTAACAAGGTTATTCATTAAGAAAAAATTAAAATGTACCTTGTTCTACTCCATGTGTAAGTTATGCTACAAGATCTACAATATATGATTCTCCAACCATACTTTGAATTATAAGTTGTATATATATCCTTACCATGTTGCTTATATTAAGTACACAATAACAAGATTTTATATCATACTTTTAATAACATACAACTTAAACTAACTCTCACATAGTACTCCTTACAGCATTGATATCTACAATAATCAAGGAATTGGGATAACTCAAGCATCAAATTACACCCTGTCAGTGTTTTTACATTTTCAGTAAAATGAAAAATATCATGGGATAACATAACAACTAACTTTATTCTTTTTTTCCATAGTCTATAACTACTTTAATAATCTAAAATGTAAGACTGCTAAAACTAATAAACCTTCCAACATGAGCTTGCTAACTCTGGTAATTCTGTGATAAATACAGGCTGAGGAGGTTCTGGAAGAGATTCTTCTTGTTCTTTCAGCTTCTTCATAAGCTCTGCAACCCAGTGGCCATCATCTTGTATTTGTGTTGAAGTTAAACACGTGACCTTCACTTTATGTACAGCTGAGAAGAAATACAACAACAAGTGTTTTTAAAGACTGGTGCAACCACTATACTGTTCATTTAACTACTAATTAAGTAAGGTATGTTTTAATATTGGTTTAATTCAAACTTATTTCAAATTTCCTTCAAATGAATGCAGTTCAAGTGATATGTGTATGGAACAGGATTTTGTCTACATGTTATTCAGAAACATATTTTCTACTAGGTAGACAGGAAGAAAAATAATTTGATGAACTCTAGGACTAAGCCTCTCTTGTGACTTATGGAATACAGCATCTCTTTCAATATCAAATGTTTTTGTTTACTTATCTGTACTGCAGACATTATTCAAGTCAATCTTTCAGAGACAACCAAATTTAAATAGGTGGGACAAGGGAATGTGTTTATAAGAGGTAAAGTTCCAAAGTAATTCTATATGGCATTAAAAATTTGGATTTCAAAAACAGTAATCTAATTTTGGATGGACTGAAAGATATAATCTCAGCACTGAAAAGAAATTATGTAGCAAACAAGGTGAACTTTTTCGTTAAACCTATGTAGCAATCATGTAGTCCATTCATATGCAAATGAAACACAGCATTGGAGTCAAACAGTTTAAAAGTATTAGAAGTCCATCAGACATTCCTATAATGTGGACAATGGTGCTGGATTTACTATACTTGAGCTTGGAACATACTCACTCATCCATGACAACCTGCCAGAAAAGCTTATAGAATTGTTTACATTGTGCAATGATAAAAATTAATGACTTTCATATTGTTGCGTCAGCGAGGTCACGTGACTAGTGTCACGCCACGTTTCTAGAACTATCCTGTACCTTGGCGAATGCTCTAGCATTTACTAGATATAGGGTAGTCTGGTATATATATAAGAGGGTGACAACGTGACGGAACAATAATGTGTGTGTAGGTAATGAGTAATTGAACTGCAGCCAGAGAGGGACGTATTGTTGAAGTCGAGCTCGTGAGAAATGAATCATAGTTTGTTATAGTGCGACTGTTGAAGTTGAGTGTATCGCAAAGTTATATTC